TATTACACAAAATGTATGTAAAGTAGTTCTGAGAGGCTCCAGAAAGGACAATTATTCATTGGTTGTTGTGATCACGTGACCATTATAGAAGGTTATATATACGAGCAGTGAACGCCAGTTACACAACAACGATCATAACGATCAGATCATATTACGTCATCAACATCACTGACTGTATAGCTGTAAATTACTAGCGACTTATAGGTATAAAAATAATGTAAACTTTAATACAAAGTAGCGTATAATTTCTCCACCACACGGACACCGCAATCCACTGTATTTTATCAGGCCAGAGATGTTAAGCTAGGACTTAGACTCATATAGATGTACTGACTGTCTTGTTTCATTGAAGTCTTTATTAAATGAAATATTTGAAACGAGAAATGGAACTTACAAGGATGTGAAGTAAATTATCAAGGGTGATTAAATACATGCGACGGGCTGAGGAAGCCCCCCCTTTTTTTTTATATGTGGACGAATGTCATGAGTAGTCCTGATAAAATTTAATTGATTGAATTTACACGGGATGGAAACACTGTAAGCTGATTGGCATTTGACAAGGTGCTGAGGAAGCTTACAATATTTTGGTGGGGCGTGAAGAAAGGGGGTAGAACATTTATTAGAACTTTGTATTGTAACGTGTGTTAAGTATGGTTAGTAAACTGTTTTAAAGCAATAAGCAATAGTCAATGAATGAAATATATGGATATAATGAACAATATTCAAGCTCAAAGGTCCATTAAACAATATAAAATAATAGGAACAGAGCAAACACAGACCTCCAACACACCAAAAATGGGATCAGATGCCATGGAGGAGTGAGCATCTTCTGCCATCGAACGGTCACAACCCCCACCCCCACCCCACCCCACCCGTGTGCTCCTTGTCATGATCTGGAAATAGCGTAAAGTCCGTCGACAATTCGGTGTATATATAATGGTCTAATTATTAGTATGAAAAACGCCAGTCAGCATTTGATTTAATGATTAATTGTATTTGCTGACAAGGTCATTGTATCGACCATAAAACTTACAAATGATAACTTTAAACGAGACTGCCGAAATTCTTGTTCCAGCAACTATAGTTTGTCAACAACTTACCTTGTTTTGAAAAAAAATTATACGTAGAGCATGCCGTTGCGTATCGAATCAGTTGAGAGATATAAACCCCGTATGCAGGTGATGAAGGTATATATTGCTGCATAAGAAAGGGAAGTTAACGATTGAAAAATTAAAGTCATCTCGTTTTTTCATAAAACTTGTTTGTTAGATTATCATGGCCATTAAAGTCTTTTCAAGTGAAGTATCTACGTATGAAACAGATATGTCAGACTCTGTGGTACCTTTTATTTTAACCTCAACGGTATATATCGTATTGACATAAAAATGAAAATGACCACTCTTAATTGACAATACGTCATCAATATATAAATGTCGAGTTGAAGGCTACGGCAAGTGTATTCTTCTTTCACCTACAAGATTTTGGACAAATTCTGCTTCATATGAATACAAATATAGGTCTGCTAATAACGGGGCGCAATTGGTACAGACTGTTAGAAAACCTGGTCTTAAAAAGCCACACAGATATTGTCAATCAGAAATTCAAGCATCTTTTTAATATCATCTTCGGAGTACATGTACTTGTGTGCACAATCAGAATTTTTTGAACAAAATAATTTTGCAAATGACCAGTTACAAGGTGAATAAATTTACGAGTTCCATTTTTATTGAAAAAAGCAGCTGTCAATGAGTACATATTTGCTATTAAGAAATAAAAGTTGTGGCCTTGAACTTGAAATATGACGAAATACAAGACTTACTAGAACCTTTTGAGATGAGAATGTTACTAATATTTACTGTGTCAATTAATATATGATTATTTTGTAAATTTTAAGTAATTTTTTAATGTCATTTTTAGCATTTTATTGAATTCTGATTTCATAATCATTTTTGGAATACGATGATTGAAATACTTCATTAAAAAGCATATATTTACATCCACTGAATATTTTCTCCTTTATTTCTTAAGAAAACCCACTGCGTTAATCACTGTATGAACTACATTAGGCTTGTCGCCTGTACAGATTTCTTGATCAGTGGCTGTTCCATCAATGAAATGTATAAACTAAGACGTTCGCATCATTAATGCAAAAATTAAACTTTTTTATCCTTCTTTAAATGATTATTTAAACAGATATAAATATAAACAATAAAATGTCTTTCTTTGTTTGTTATTACTGGAATTAACGGTCGCAGCTATTGTAGAAAAAATTTACATAACCTGCTTACGCGGGTTATGTATTTTTTCTGCAACAGCTGCTTTCGTTAATTCCAGTAATAACAAACAAAGAAAGCATTTTATTGTTTTAAGTTACACTCCATGATTTTCCCCTAAAAATATCTGACATATTTTAGAAATAAAAATTAACATACAAGAATACACCAAACGATACAAATTATAATAATACTAAATAATAGACAAGGGCATTTCACCTAATTTTCTTCGTCAAGAAGGAAAGAATCGACGCATGGTTCATAAAGAACTTCTCTGAAAACTGTTGACAAATTAAAATATAAAATCTTTTTGCATGTATGGTAGGTTCATTTATCTTCCTCTTGCGTGTCAACCTTTCCGGTATTGTCAGTAAATTAGCAACCGTTACAAATCATATTTGATTTTGTTGTCAGTCCTTTGAAGAAAGCGCTTGCATATATATATATATATATAGCATTTTAGGTCTTGGAAATCAAATTATCGATTTTAACGTAATTTCAATCATGCTGTGCTATCAACATATAAACTTATCATTAGAGTAAGAATTTAAAAGTAATTTTACAATGATTTTTGTTCTCAAACTGAGAGTTCACGAGTTCCGAAACCCGTAGGACTTTCCATTCGACATATTTTGTATTTTCACTGGAAGGCATATATGTGTGTGTGATTAAAGCCAATTTTATGGCATAATGACATGGCTAGCCAACCCATTGTATCAAATTCATGTTCATTTCCGCAGTTTGCGTCTGAGATTTGTCGGTGGAATTTTCTATGATAAGGTGTTAATCGCTAGGCAGATACGAAGAATTACTGCTAGATCTCATGCTAAGAAACATCTTTATTTCTCAGAGAGATGACCTATTCCATGACCATACGAAATCACATTCTCTTACGTCTCTGTTTCGATGACAATCGTCTAATTCACTGCGTTAATTTTTTAAGATACCATAAGTTATCCGTTCTAAACGTATCACATTTCCTTTAATCTTGAAAAAAATGTTTAGAAGCATTAATTTGTCCTCTTTGAGAACAACGATACCATTCCTAATCGTTTGATGCTGTTTTGAGCTGTCAAAACCCTTTCATGATAAAATTTCCTATGTGAAAATACACGAAAATTCATTTTCAACAGCAATCCTACATATCAATGTTCCAAAGGGATTTTCTCAAAGTGTTTTATTTTTAAAGCAATATATACATACATTCGAAAACTCTTTTCCCTCAATTTCTTGGTTTTGAATAAATAAAATAACATTCATTTATTCTGTATCGGTGGTATCTCACTGTACAATAAAAAAAAAACTGACCATGTAATAAATGCAAAACTTTTAATAGTTTTTCTTTACAAAACATCCCAGTATGCAAGGCCCAGCATATATGTTTGGTCATCCAATCGCATCATTTTTTTTTTTGGTTTGTTGTTAAACGTCTGTCTCGAGAATTGTTCACTCATATGGAAACGCCACCACTTGCAAAACTTGACCTTTCGCAATAATAAACTCAAGTTAATTTTTTTTTCAGATTTCTTTTTTGCTTTTGAACCGTATTTAGGAAAATATGGTGGTTGTGACTATCTGATTTCCTAATGTTTGCCCGCGTGGCGCAGTGGTTAGACGCGGCGCAGTGGTTAGAGCATCTGCTCTAGATTCACAAAGTAAGGAGTTGATACTAACGTCGCGGGTTCAAATCCCACTGTTGGACGTGGAGACCGGTCCTTCGGATGAAACCGTATAAACCGAGGTCCCGTAACGCAGTAGATGCTGGCTTGAAAAAAATGTTCCTCCCTGCTCAATGGTCCTGAGTGCCGAGAATAGGACAAAATTTACAGATCTCCACCGGCAATTAGTGGCGTCTCCGTATGAATAAAAAATTCTCGAAAGGAATGTTAAACAATATACATACAAACAAACAAACTTCTAAATAATTGTGCCGATATAAAGTAAACAACAGTAAACATTTCTATTTTATGCCCGTGCCCTCAAACTGAAAACGCTTCCAACGGGCCTGTATGTCACAACTGATACAATTTTTTAGAAAATCAAAACCTATTACATGTATCTATAAATATATCTATGCATTTTGATTTCTGCCTCAAACTTTGTGTCAGATATATGCAATTATTTTTAAATTATGAAAATAAACACAAAGAGACATTTTGTCTTGCCGCATGGCAAGAATAAAATGACGTCTTTATGACAATTTTCTTTGGAAGTCCTTTTTCATTTTATCCAGAAATCTTCAATTCAAATAGGTTGCTCTTAAGCAAGTTGGAAGCATAATTAAAAAAAAAAACGTTTAAAAGATCTTCGGATAAACTGAAAATTAACGTCATATAACGATGTCGGTAACATTCTTGCTTCTTAATATTTTCAGGTCAGTACTTAATATAACTAAATAAATTTATAAAGTTCAAAATCAAAATATATAGGATAACTAGATATTATTTTTTTTATATATATAATATTCGATTATTAAAGATTGAAAGCAGGACTTAGTGTATTACTTTTTGATCAACTATGTACTAAGTGAATACAGTTTACAAACATGAAGTCATCTTCAGTTGGAGAGAGTTTGGTAAGTACCATAAACACCCCTTCCTTAATTAATAACAAATTAAACCCCAAGAAGCCTAGTGTCTATGTGAGCAACACCTTTAATTGAATAGATCGATGTCATCAATGCTCTGTAGCGTTTTGCTTGTGGTTCAGTTGCTGGACCAAATCCGATCACGGCGCATTAATTCGAGGCTGATACCTGCCGACGTCAAAGGGCCGTGATCAACACGATTTATCACCGGAACATATATCCTTAAATTTTCATTTGAATCCGAGAAACGGGGAAGGCACGATAGACCAACAAAAAGAGACTACATCTTAGGACAAATTTAAAGACTTTAAAATATGTAAGTATATTTAAATCTCCTGATGTTATTTACAGTTTTTCTTGAAATACATTGTAATTTTCTTTCAATCAAGCATACAAGTTCTCGAGAAATTCAAAGACAAATAGGTATTGATATTATTTTTTAAGTATATATATATATATATATATATATATATATTGTCTTTGAATAAAATTTAACTAAAACAAAATTTATACACCAGAGATGATATTTTTTGTCTCTCATAATTCAAATAAATTCTCTATAATGATTCAAATAAAGTTTTTATTTGGTTGATTCTCTTTGATTTTTATTAAATACGTAGGAAAATCTAATGGATGTCAAAGGATTGCAATTACAATTGCTGTATCAACGCTGAAACAAATGATATATTGTTAAATCAAATAGAGAATTCGTTTGACGATTATCCATTTTAGAATCAACCATGAAATAGTTCAAGCTGGCTTTAATATTGGTAATAAAGGTTTCCAAAAAAAAATGTTTGTGTAAGATCTTTGTAGTGTAACACCGAGGACATGCATGCATTTTTTGTGCATTTAACAGTATGTAATTGTTGACATACTTAAAAACCAATCTTTACCTTGGAGTGCCAGTTTTAAACATTTTGTCTAAGTTTTAATTGGACTTAAAGCAATGTTATTGCAAGAACTTTGCCTTTGAAGTATGATTTTAAAAAGCAATTGCCACTTTTTGATAGATAAATTATAAGAAACAAAGGTGCTTGTTTTGCAGATATTTATTGAATAATATGCAACTTGACATTGTTTAAGCACAAAGAAAGATTTAAAAAAAAAAAAAAATGAAAAACAGTTTATGAGAAATAAAATGCAAAGCAAGTTTCAAAGGAATTGATCAGTTACAAATTGTAATGATTTTATGCAGTTGGTAAATTCAATACATTTGCTTCATATTCCAAAAGAAGTATTTCGTATCATGTACACGCATTGTATTTTTTTAAAGAGATGTTTTCTTTCAATAATTTCAACAAGTATTTAACAGAAATTAGTTTTTTTTTTGTCAGTATCGCGCAATGACGAAAGGGTCTTTTTTGAGGGGGGTGTTATTTATAGTTATTAACCCTAAATTACCAGAATTAAAATAGGCAAATTATATCCCTAGAAAAACGGTATTTTTAGAATTCCTTCGTTGTCATTGATACAGCGTAATATGTAAAACCATCAATGGTATAGTTTTTGTATTTTAATACCTCTGCGTTCTATAGCCTCACTGAACAGAGATATCATCACCACAGATTAATGTTCTATTGATCCACTTAATACCTGAATTTTTCACCTTATAAACAATTAAAATAACCCGGATGAATTTGTGGAATCCAACCCTTTAATCTACCCAAGAGAGTGTTCCGATATCATTCTAGCCTGGTGAAAGTAAGATCTTTTTCCATACTTCGTGTTACTATTCCCACTCTCGTCTACAATTATTGGAAGATCGGGTATTAGACAAACGCTTCCGGGGCGACATGTTATACCGGAAAGGTAGCACATAATAACACACGGCTTCTACGCCCGATTACCGTCTGAACAGCACCAATCCATAAACAATACTCCGTAATGTGTGGATGCTTCGGAATCTCCGCAGTCGTCCCTCAATCTGAAATGATACCGAACATAAAACATTACACATTCAGTCATCCTTCAAATGATATATATCTGGATATTCTATCACTAGTGAATCTGTACAATTTTTTATCAAATATCTGGTTACTTTGGCCTCATCTGATAGAATACAATAGTGTCTCTTAAAACTCAGATTTCTGTATTTCTTTTTGGCAGTCTGTCTATCGTCCAATTACACACGTTGAAAATATTCTCGAGTTGACACTAGTAGTTAAGAAACCAAAAAAATATTATAAAAATAAATTTATTTAAATGTCATAAAATAATTAATTTCTCTTAATAATGTCCTTGAGAATACTTAATGGGCGAACCTACTCTTTCAATTCTGTTTTATTTCAGTTTCAGGATATAAACATGCTACGGCCAGGTCAAATAATTATTATAGGATTATTTTATCTTCACAACATAAAGGCCGACATTGACCAAAAGACCATTCTTCATCCAGTCAAAACTGTTGAAAGTGCCACAAAAATTCAAGGAGAAAACCCAACATATTCAATAAAGGCCTCAGATAAAAGAAGCAGTGGTTTTTTCCGTATAGGTAAGAGTACCTCAACAGAGGAAAAGAGTGATGAAAAACCGAAGGAAGACTATAAATTGGAAGACGATAATGAAGTAGAAGTTGGTGAATACGTTCCTATAGATATTAGCTTAATCCCCTTTGCAAAGAGTGAGTCAGGGGCACGATTTTATGTTCCCGTTGAAATAGAATCACCGAAAGATGACAACAATCCAACTGAGGAGGAAAAAAGAGCTTCGGGGTTCTTTAGAATCGGAAAAAGTAATGGGAATTTCGGAGAAAAAAGAAATTTCTTTAGAATAGGAAAATCTTTAGATCAGGACACAAAGCACAAAAAAGCAAGCGGGTTTTTTCGAATTGGAAGGTTATCTCAGAACCAGAATACAAAAGACAAAAAAGCAAGCGGATTTTTTCGTATTGGTAGGACACCTGATGAGGTCATGGATAAACGAGCCAGAGGCTTTTTTCGAATAGGAAAAAGCTCAAACGATATTGATGAAAAACGAGCTTCTGGATTTTTTAGAATTGGTAGAAGTAAAGTAAATGACAAAAGAGCACAGGGATTTTTCAGAATTGGTAAAAGCAAAGGATTTTTTCGAATTGGTAAAGCTGTTCCTACGGACGGCGAAAAGAAAGCAAGTGGATTTTTCCGGATCGGGAAAGATCATCCAACAGGTATGAACAAGAAAGCGAGTGGGTTTTTCCGCATTGGAAAAAGTGTTCAGGGACAAGCAAACGACAAGAGAGCAAGTGGATTTTTTCGAATTGGAAAAAGTTGTTCCGAGGATTCAAAAAGAGCAGGCAGATTTTTTCGTATAGGAAAGAGTCATCCCGATAAAAACGAGGAGGAAAGCTCAGAAAGCCAGATCTCTTCAATGTCTTCAACCCAAAACCCTGATCAACAGAACAAAGAAAAGAGAGCGGGGCGATTCTTTAGAATTGGGAAACGAGCCCACGGTAGAATTACAAAGAGAAGTTCCGGTGACGATGTTTCAGCATACGAACAAATGTTTCCACAAGAAAACAAGCGAGGATACATTAGGATAGGCAAGGTGCCTGCCTCAGCCTTCATGAGAATCGGTCGTCAACATTTTCTACAGTCTCTGGTTAGTGATCCATTTTATAGAAATGGAAGGATTCAACAGAGCTCCTTTATGAGGATCGGGAAAAGGAGCGTGAGGAACGATGACTTGGAAAGAGAACAGCTGTCAGCAAATAGTGACGACATTCTGTGAAGTATTTTATAACAACGAAAAAAGATTTATGAAAAAAGAAAAAAATGCAGAATTTTTAAAGTAAAAAGGGAACAAGATCATTTTAATCTATTAGCATTTTGGCTAAGATCTTGAGAATTATAAGCATTTCTTCAAGTTACAATAAAGAAAGAATGTTTAGGTTAATGTGAACAAAATTGATTACTTTTTTAATTTGAGTCAACAATTCACTATATAGGATAAATAAGTTAATGATGTATTTTAACAAATTCGACAAAACGTTTAATTTTGGTTATTTTTGTCAAACAATTTTCAAAATTTGTGATGCCAGTTGATTGCTTGATCTGCTTTGTAGACATGCAAGAAGTCAAACATATAATGGATTTAAAATAGGCTTAATTTCTGCATAAAAATGAGACCTTTTCTTGTCATTATTTCTATATTTGTAGAATACAGTGAAACTTATCTAATCAGGATGTTTCGTATTCCGAAATCTTGTGTAATAAGATCTAAAATTGAACCCCCTTTCAGTAAATTTCATTAATTAACATGTTTTTGTTTTTTATCTGGAATATTTTCTTATCCAGTTTTTTTTTTTCTTTTTTGTTTTTTTTTTTTGGTAACCATTGAAATCCGGATTTGACAAGCTTTACTGTATTTCTATTTTATGGAAAAAGTCATTATTAAGAAAAACCAGCATCTCTTTGTAGTCATATTTTTCTTTATATTAAAAGTTAATTTAACATTATTATTTATAAATTACACATTGTGATGATACAGTCAATAAATCTCGGCATGTTGCAATAATGATGATAAGTGATAACCTAGTGAAATTCTTTCTGCATCATTGCTGATGCAATCAATAATGTGTGATAGAATTTTATTTTACCAATGTTTGTACAGACGGTTATATTTTGATAAAAATTGCTTTTTGAAATTGTTAATTATAAAGTAAATGCTCTCAAATAAAAGCATATATGCATTTTTTGAGAACCTGGTTCTTTGCTTTTTATTATGGTTTTTTTGAATTGATTATTGTATTGTGTTGTAGGTATTGGAATCGCTGTGAACGTTTTCAACAAAAATACTTATTCGATTCACAATAAAGCTAATTGAACTCTGAATGTTGTAAAGTTGGAGTAACAACTCTTTGATCTTTCGTTAATTTGGAACAACTTTTTGAAAATATTAAAAAGAATTCAATAGCCAGGTTAAATATCGACCACCTATTTTAATTGTATACTTTAATTGCTTATATATGTAAAAATTATGTTTTCAAAAATATAAATAATTGTAATTTGTCCCATCAATTCAATTCCTATGTTGAAAACATATTCGGTTAGCAATTTCAAATATATTTTAATTAAAAATACCCAAATGTCTAACATAAACAAAAACACTTACTGTATCAATAGTTATAGAAATAAACCCTATGCTTGAGAGTTCAATAGAATTCCTATTAAACAATATATTCCGGTATTTCCATTCCCAAAAGTGGATCTAATTAAGATAAACCCAATAAGAAGTACATGGAGAAGCGAAAATATTTTGTTGTGTTATCTGGATATCATCAAACCTGTCAAATTCAGAAGAACTGGTGGCTCTCAGTCTAAAGACAAAATGAAAGAGTAAGACGTGCATTGTGTAACAATGGTCGTTTACCATTAGTGTATTAACACAGCTTTTTTTTCAGGTTGCGACTCTTCATTTAATTATTGAAATGTATAATTTTAAGATATCACAAAAAATTTTAAAAAAATATTCTAGTGCAGCCATTGACTTTGCAGATTTATATAAAGGAAGTAAATTTTAGAGAGCGTGCGTATGTGTGCACCGTGTTACAATTAATGTCTTAGCTGTACTTTTAATTTTTTTTTCACATTTTTTCAACTTATCATCTTGAATTTTCTTCAGATAAACAACAATCTGTGATGCAATTTATTTTAAAGTGCTCAAACATTATTCTTTACAATTAATTTTTGATAGTATATAAACCATGAGAGATTATCATGTGTGTACATATCTTCGATTTAAATCTGAGATATATTTGTGACCTTGAATTACAATATTTTTTGGGGATTTACATGAAACCTGAAAATTATAAGTATCTTTTATACACAAATAAAATTAATAGAATTCCGATTGCTTAGTATGACCAATGAACATATTACCTTAGTAACTATTTCATGGAAAGTCCTTAAGAAAAGTAATGGTAAAAAGACAATGATACAGTCATCAGATATTTGTTCTCTAATGACGCCTACTAACCTAATGTTTGCTTTTAACAAGACTTAAAACCTGCATCAAACGATGATTAATTAGATTAATGTTAAATTGACATTCTCATCAGGAGTTAATATCGTGGGAAAAGTCAATGTTTGATATGTCATCTAAATTATTGAAGAATTTCGTCTGATTGGAACAATTAGCACTGCTTACAACATCTGCCTCATGGGGATTATTTGAACTCTCCTTTGTTTGCAATTAAGGATAATCATTCACTTTTCTTCTATTGTTCACTTAAAACGACTCTTAACTTAAATTTTTGGTCCCCCGCTTTTGCAAAATTGAGGAGACATATCTCATTCGTATGTCAGTCTGTCCCAAAAACTTTAACCTTGGTTATAACTTTTGAATGAAAAGAGATGAGACTTTCATATTTCACATGTACACTATACCGATGACAAGACTTTTCTAAATATACCATGGTTTTTGACTTCGTGACCTAATGACCTTTACCTTGAAATTTGACCTACTTTAAAAACAAATTATATTACTTTAAAGTGGACAAAACTTTTGAATGAAAAAAGGTTAGGCTTTTATATTACAAATGTACATTACATGTGACAAGACCTTTCTGTATATACTTTGATTATTTACCCATAGACCATGAACTTTTACCTACTTTTCAAAAATATTATCTTTCCTTATGGCTTTCATATTTGACATGTGCATTACATGTGACAAGACATTTTCGAGCATGCTTTTTATGCCTTGACATTTGACTTCATGTTTGACCTACTTTTAAAAAATTAATTTTGGTGATTACTATTGAATGACATATAATAGGGCGTTTATATTTGACACAGTATGCTATATGGCATGTCATACACTTAGACACTAATAGCGAGGGACAACAATTCTTTGATTTTACTTGTTTAAATTTTTTTTTCTTCACTCACACAAATAAGAGAAAATTTCTATCTTTCATCGTCAAAGTCCCTAATTTATTTAGCAGTATAACATTATCATCCACAGATGATGATTATGTCGCCCAATGCACAAAAACGTAGAATTACTTTTAATCGCGAAACAGGTTACTAACAAATAAGTTGATCAATAAGTTCTTATGATGTACCACTCGCCGATGGAGGTCTTCAAAGGACAAGGTAGGGCCAAAACTGGGCTCTTATTTAATGTAAAAATCAGAAATCTGGTAAAATTGTGATAGTTTGTAGTACGGAACCTTAACATGATGCTTGCTTTAAAACCATCAATAATTTGGATTCAAAGCTTACATGGAAAAACAGTAGGATGCAGAAGAAGAATATTTTTCCGAATGTCCTTAATTCTGGTGGAATTTCATTTCATCATATTTGAGATACTTTTCTCTTCAGAAAACATAGAGCATACGCTTGCCAATCTGAGATTTTTACAGCGCTCTGTTACAGTGTACTAGCACACCTCTTTTTGTATTCATATGAAGCAGAATTTGTCCAAAATCCTATGCGTGAAAAGAAGAAAACACTTGCTGTGGCCTTTAACTCAACATTTAGATATATCAACGACGTATTGTCATTTAACAATGGAAATTTTCATTCCTATGTCGATACGATATATCCTGGTGAGCTTGAGATAAAAGATACTAGAGTCTGACACATCTGTTTCATACTTGGATATTTTACTTGAAAAAGACGTTAATGGTAATCTAACAAGAATATCAGCAGTCTCGTTTAAAGTCATCATTTTGTAAGTTCTTTGGTCGATACAATGACCTAGTCAGCAAATACAATTTATCATTGAGTCAAATGATGACTGACGTTTTTCATACTAATTCTTAGTCCATTGTTTAAACACTGAATTGACGACGGATTTTTCCGTTATTTCCCCACCATGACAAGGAGCACACGGCAGGTGTGACCAGTCAGCAAGGAATGCTCACTGCTCCATGCACCTGATCCACCTCTAATGTTTTAGAGGTATAGAGGTCCGTGTTTGCTCTGCTCTTATTTTGTATTGTTTTATGGACTTTAATACCGTTCGTTATCTCCATATCCTTCATTACACATAGTCCCGTGGGGATCCGGGTTAGAATAGGTCCTCAGTACCCCCTTGCTTGTCGTAAAAGGCGACTAAATGGGGCGGTCCTTCGGATGAGACCGTATAAACGAGGCCCCGTGTCACAGCAGGTGTGGCATGATAAAGATCCCTCCCTGGTGAAAGGCCGTAAGTGCCGATCATAGGTCTAAAATTTGCAGCCCTTCACCGGCAATGGTGACTTCTCCATATCAGTGAAATATTCTGGAGAGAGACGTTAAACAGTATACAATCAATCAATCATTACACATAAACTTCATGTGATACTTAGGCATAAAATATTTAACTTTGGTAGATAGGCAAGCTTGTGCTTTATGTTTTCCGAAGCAAAATGTTCTGTAAAATCGATGAAAATTTGATAAAAATAAATAAAAATTCGAAAAGTGACCTACTTATTGACCTCTCTGTGACCCCTATGTGTTCAAAAACGTAGAACACATACTCTTTTGTGGCAGAGGTGACAACGGGTTTTTATGGATAAATTGTTGCATCATACTGAAAGACATGTACACCCAAAATCAAGAGCCAAAAGGGGGGTTTAAGCCTATCTTGTCCTTTAGACCTTTCCTCAGCAATACGGCCATTGAGCAGTAAAGGATCTATTGCAAACCGGACCCTCGGTTTATTCTGTCTCATCTAAAGGATTTATCTACAAGTCCCACAGTGAATTCGAACCCGCGACGAAAGTTCCTTAATCCGCGACTCTAGAGCAGACGCTCAAAGCACTGCACCACGCAGTCGACTATTTTCATGGTTTTCATCTGTATAAGTTTTGTGCTACAAGTATTAAAAGATACCAATAATCTTTTATTCATTGTGTGGAGAGCAAATCATATGAAATTATCAATCTACCATACTGTCTCAAAAATAAGTGCTTATAATTTTAAAATAAGTATCAAAAACTCAGGTGAATGAATATGTTAAAGATATATTTACCCGATCCCAGTATAAACGTTTGACATGAATTGCAAATTTTGTTTGTATAAGGAACATTTCAATGATTTCAATGATATATTGTGCAACACTGCGCTATAAATAAACTAACAATTCTTGAAAAAGAAGACAGATTATCGTTAGTCAATCAGTCCCTTTTTAAGAGAAGGCTGAGAATTGATTGCACAATCGATTCTGTAAAAAAAGAATTCCAATCAAAGACTTGTGGAAAAATATTCCAAATAAAACCGATAACATTTCGAAATATTAACTACTGTAAATGAGAAATTCTAACATTATGTTCTACAATACGTTTAACAAGTGGTGTAAATTAAATATTGAATCTAAAAGTAGACTCCATGGAGCTTTTTGAATACTAGTATAAAAAAGCAACTTTTCAAATACCAATGGCTTCAAACATATGATTTTCCACAATTTTTTAACAAACCATTTTTAAGATAAATGGCTTTTGACATCAAAGACAAATTCTTCAACAAAAATGGAACTTGTTATTGTTCATATTTTATCACTGATCATCTACAAAAATACAGAAAAAACTAGAGGTACTGTGAGCGATGAGCTCACTAAATGATACCCCCCGCCTCCCATATGGTTATAACTGGTGAAATAGTCCATCTTTTCCTGTGGCCGGGAAACCCAAAATATCTGTCGGATCAAAAAGTAAAATAGGAGGTGCACAATGGCAATATGTAATAAAGATTCTGTGAAAGTTTCATCAAATT